GACCCAGCAAGCTATCACGATGTAAAATGCTTGTGCAGGTGACACACAGTATATAATTCAGATCATGGCTCTTTACAGGGACGTATCGAACCTCTGCCCCAATGATTCCCAGACTCCTTTTATGCAGTGGACTCGCACATGGAACATCGACATATCAAAGGCGTGACAGCGAGAGTCCTCTGGTTGATGTCAAAGAGCTGCGTGCAAATGCCACCCACCTACCCTGCATTTCAGCGGGAACCTGAGACCCCATGAAGGAGACCAGAACCGGGAAGGGGGACGCACCATCAGAGCAGGCATGTGGCTCAAATCCCGTGAATTTTAGTCTATTGATTGATTTTAATGTTTATTTATTATTTTGAGAGAGAGAGAGAGAGAGAGAGAGAGAGAGAGCGCTAGCAGGGGAGGGGCAGAGAGAGGGAGGCACAGAATCCGAAGCAGGTTCCAGGCTCTGAGCTGTCAGCACAGAGTCCGACACGGGGCTCGAACCCACGAACCGTGAGATCATGACCTGAGCCAAAGTCAGATGCCTAACCAACCGAGCCACCCAGGCGTCCCCAAATCATGTGAATTTTAATCCGATTGCTCTTTTGGCTCAGCAATTGCACTGCCTTTATTTCAAACCATTTCTGCATTAGATTCCAAGTTTTGACACCACCGCATGTAAATGAAGTGACGCAATTACTGACCTTAAAGACAACTTCAGGATGAGCCGTACGCAACCTTCCCAGAGACAAACATTTTAGAACAGAAAGAACACCTGAGAAACGAGCAGGTGCTTCCCATACTTTTTCGAATGCTTGAAAAAGTCAGTTACATAAATCTACGGGCAACATTTCCTAAAATGGTACAGTACCTGTCAGGCGAGAAATCCAGGAACGTCGCCATCTGGCTTGGTGGTGTTGACTCCATTACGGGCAGCGCTCAGCAGACAGGCACCAACGGTGGGACAGCAATCCCACCCCCGCTGGCCCCTAAAGCGTTAGATCTCCATGCTGCTGCGGGGATGCAGACCGCCCTCAGCGAGGTCCGTGATAATGAACGAGCTATCAAGACCCACGTGGAGGTGCAGAAGAACACACTGTACGCGTCATAGTCACAATTTTGTATCTGGATCAACTAAAAAGTGCATCTGACATTTTGGGTAACTAAGGAAGCCACATCGGTGCCGAACTCAGTCTGTCGTTTACCTGATTCATGCTTCATACTGAGGGGAAGGCTAGATGTGGGATCTCAGTGGACTATAGACTTGACTATAGTCAACTCAACTATAGACTTGAGCCTTCCCTCAGCCCTGAGCTGGGATCTCAGCACTGATCCCCACAAGGGTTGTTGCTGGGAGTCAACCCTTCACCTCCACGCCTCTCTTTCTTTGCAAGTAAAGTAAGCGAACCCATCCAACGGGCTTTGTGAGGATTAAGTGAGCACCTACAGCGATCCGTGGCTGGCCAACAGCTGGCTCTCAATGAGTGGGTGCTATTGCATACAAGTCAGACCGTTGTGAAGCAAAAGTAACTTAAAGCGTGCACGAGGCTTCAAGTTGCAGTAGTGATACCCAAAAGCAGTGTTACCACGTGAGGTAAACTCAAATGAATGTTTTAAATGGAGGTAGAATGAACAGACTCAAGATGGAAAGACAAATGGGAGACAATGAAAGAGGGAATGGGCAGGTAAGAGCCCCAAATAAATAAATTCCAGGTATTTCCACCAGAAAGCATTTGTGAGGACATTTCTCTTATATGTCTATGGTCTTTGGACGCTCATCTCAAAAAAAATAGGTAAGTAAGAGGTAGATCTGATGGTACTCGAATGTTCGATATGCATGCCTTCCTAATGACCAAGGTGTAGACTGTAAGAGAAAATGTGTTTATAAAAGAGCATCTTTTTTGGAAATAAATGGAAGACGAGTCTGATGACTAGACTTCATGGAGACATGAATAATGACCTTCTAGCTCTGATGATACCGCCCAGCTTGCCTGGCTCCATTCCAGTGTATTAATAGCATATTAACAGCCCTCAAAGTATTCCGGACTAGACAACAAATTATATGGCTGATGGCTGGTGAGACCGTGTCACACTGTTCTGAGTAAAGAAAACATTCATATTCCAGAAAGCAAGTGTCTTATAATCATTAACTTTTTAAATTAAGGCTCAGGTTAGAGGGCAGTATTTGATAGTACGATTACGTGTTTCACCGGCTGGGATTTCATGTGCAAAGCAACAATATTTGTACGTTGTCCGGCGGTATGAGTCAGAGTGGAAATTATAAGGTATTTGGTGTTCTCGCTGCCAGCACTGGGCTATAAGACTTCACACATAAAGCCCGTAAGCTTTTATATTAGATGTGCAATCATCTTGCAAGGCAGGGAATGCTAGATCCCTGTACAGAGACTCCGAAAGGAATTGGCTGCTTTCCTGAACATCACAGCACAGACGTGGGATGGGGGAAGACGCTCGTTCCCTTCTGCCTCGTTCTGAAATCTGTGTTCGTTCCATGCATCAGCCTCCTGTATCATAATTCCTGTTGTTAAACCCTCTCGTTTGGGTGGGAAAACAGTATTTATTACTCCATAAAAACAATAATACCAAACAATATTTTTCCCTTTCGTAGACAGAAAAAGAGCACTTATGCACTAATGACTTTCTGAAGACGAAACTCAACATTTCAACGTTTTGCTAAAAACATATCTCTTCGTCTCAAAAGCACTAATTAGAACGTCCGTCGCCACGCATGGTGGTGCCATTTTATTCGATCGTCTTTTTGAATATCGGGATGGCAATGGTTTAAAAATATTTCTCAAGACTGAAAATAGCCTGCTTCCTGCAAGCGAAAAGGAAGTGCCCCGTAGCAGTGTTTAAGAGGATCGGGAAGAAATGCAAGATCTGCGATAAAGATAAACCAAGTCACATTTCAGCATCTCTCGCACTCTAACGGGCCAAGTTGGCACGTTTCACCCCAGCAAATAAAAGGGGGTCTGTGGCGTTCTCAGGGCCTCCACAGTAGCTCATTCGTGGGATGTAAATAGACGGGCATAGAGATGCTAAATCGATTCTTTGATTTCTCTGTCGCCCACTAGGGCTCTCTGTTTTGCCACCGACTTCTTTTTTAACTCTCAGGAGCAAAAGGTAGACTTAACATTTTTCAGTGGGAAAAATTTTGAGAGCAAACTTTTATCTTTTCCTTAAATTATCTGTATGCATACATATGTGCATGTGCACCTATATGTATATATATGCGTATGTAAATATACACATTTATACATATGTGTGTATACAGTGTGCATGTGTGTTCATAATCCCACAGCATTTCCCAGATCTGCACAAACAGGCCAAACTGATAAGGAATCACCATGTAGACAGAGCTCCATACTACTGCTGGGCTTTGGGGGTGGGAATCAATTTCCTTTCAAATCTAACCTTTTAAGGAACATCAACACATCGTGCACACAAGAGAATATTCTGTTACTCCACCAAAGCAAGGATTTGTTCAATGGGCATTGCTTCATCAGAAAACAGAGCCCAGAGCCCCGTCCTCGGTCTGATGATGCTACGCGGGGTCCCATACACGGCCCTCTTCGAAAAGGCAATGCGCACACTGCCCTGACACGCGGTTTCCTCTCTCCACGCCTTTGTCGGGAATGGACCTTTTGTGACAGATCAAGAAACACGATTTCCTGTTTCCAGGACTAGCGGCCAAAGCAATTAGCCAGAAAGTGCTGAAGAATGTTCAGAAATGAAGGCAATCATTGCCATGTGATGTTAACCACAATGATTCTACAAAGACCTGGCTCACAGGACCTATGAAAACAGAAGAACTAAAATCATAAACCGACAGGGCTCTTGACACTAAAGCTTTTTACTTTCTTTAACGTACAAATACCCGCGGGGAATTTCCAGGACTTTATCAATGCTCCAAAAGGCTCAACTTTGCAAACAACTGTGGGTGATTTGCATTTGTAAATTACAGATGCATATCTACCTCTCACCCCGCTCCAGGGGGCTTTCCTTGGTGGATGTTTTCACATGTAAATGATGAAATGATGAAATGAAATGATGAAAAATGCTCAAAATAGAATGAAAACATCAAGGTGAAACTAAAATAATTCCTGGTAATATTTGTGCATTTGGGGAGAACATTTTGAGCCTTAGATTTTGTTTGGCAAAGCTCCACTGGCTCACTCTATTTTTTAATTTACTGTAACTGACACATTTCACTCGTCAGAACCACATTGTCAGAGCTTTACGGCACCGTCGCAAGGCACTGTTGTCTTAAAAACAAACGTTTTCACGTATGCCTAGGAATGTTAGTCATCAAGTATACAACGGTAGACAAAAAGATAAATCTCAAAATATCTACCATCCCAAATATCTATTTTTCCAAGCCCCCAGTGCGGAAAAATGAAATAAACAGCAAAACCACGCAGAGCTTTTACTTGTGGATTTCCGTGCACTTATCCAGCGACCTCTTATCGTCAATCAGAAACTGTCGCAGATTTGAAATCAGAGCCAAGGTCCACTGTATGCAAATAGAATGGTCATTGTAACCCCACAGCAGAGGCACAATGGTCACAGATGGTCAGTTAAGGCATTAGGTGAAAGGTTTTCCAACACAGAAGCTAAAGACAACCAAAGAAATCTAGTATCTGTGGCCATCATCACCTCTTCCCAAAGTATCAGCCATCAGCAAATGTGTTCCCTCTACAGAGCTGTGTCCCACAACAAAGTATTCATTTGGCCCAAAGATAGAAAAGCGTTTCAGTAAAACTGCATTTTAATTTGGAGTCTGCCTTTGTTGGAGGAAGGATAGGGGTTCCCTAAAATACAACTCAAGAGTTAAAAATTGCATGCCGGAAAAAGGCGACCGAACAGCTCCTGTAGGGAGTCCAGGGAAACAGAACGTTCCAAGGGCTGGAATGACATAGTTCAAATCCGCTAGAAAGTACAATAAAAGCTCCACTTTGCCACTGCCCCTTGCACGCGTACCCAATGCCCGCACTCACCCAGAATTCCCAGTCGGTAGTTAATCGTGATCACGATGACGTTGCCGTAGCTGGCCAGCACGCTGCCGTCTATCATGTTCCCAGTGCCCTCCATGTAGGATCCGCCGTGGATATAGACCATGACCGGCTTCTTACTGTTCTGATCATGGATGTCTGGAAAAGAAAATCAAGTAAGGAAACAGGATAAACAATCACCCTGAGGAACTGATGGTATGCAATGGGCAAAGGGCATGGATTACTATTTATTTTCCTTCTTTGGACTGCGATCAACCATGGATCTACTTGGGATTATATACACCTTGGTAAGACTGCCTAAGAAAAGTGCTCAATGTCATTCTATTTTCTAGTCACAGAAATGGTACTTTTGAGAAGCATATGGACATTTGAAGTAATAGGAATGCCTATGTACATTTCCGTATCTATCTAAAACACTAAAATATAGAGGATTTCGATGAAATGCTTACTTCCTAAACAGGGCTCAACTCCTAAAAGGTGACTTATTAAAGAAGCACGTGGTATTATCATTCCATCATCTCAAGAAGTGTGCGCTCTGCTTCAAAATGATCGTTTATTTTTATCCTAAGTGCCGTCTTCATTCAAACATGAGACTACAGATGCATTTTCAACTTAAAAATGAGGATACAGGAGTACGAGTGAAGCTGATGGTGACAAACTCCAAGTAAAAGGTTAAAAATTATCAACAGAACAGAAACGTGTAAAATCGAAAACAGAGCAAAACAAGGTGTCCAAGCAAAGTCTTTGTTCCAGTTCACTGACTGCAGTGAAGATCTCAACATAGTTAAGTAACAAAAACGAAAGAGATGTAGGGGGCGCCCGGGTGGCTCAGTGGGTTGAGCGTCCAAATTAGGCTCAGGTCATAACCTCCAAATTACGCTCAGGACCTCAGTTCAAGCCTAGGTCAGGCTCGGTGCTGACAGCTCAGAGCCTGATGCCTGCTTCACATTCTGTGTCTCCCTTTCCCTCTGTCCCTCCTCCACTCACGCTCTGTCTGTCTCTCTCTCTCTCTCAAGAGTAAACAAACATTTAAAAAATTAAAAACAAAAAAACCCCTAAAGAGATGTAATAGATATGACACAAGACTCTGACCTCAAGATGAAATGACTGACATGCAACATATTTTCGGAGGGACATAAACTCCCATTGAGATTTGCAACCACCAGCTGCTCTTGGTAATAACTCTGTGGCTCTATTTCACAACGATGTAAAAACAGTGTCTCGAAATGGTCTCTAAGGACAGAAATTCAGAGACCCTGTGTCCATTTGTGGAGCCCACTTTCTGAACAGGTACTGATTAAATCACCCGTTTAAATCAGTCCTTAGGTTTATGTTTAACGTATACGAGTGACCTCAATTATATTTCTGAGTATCTATTTGTATATAGAGATATATTCACGTATGTGTATAAATAATGTATATATCTGTATGTCGTCAAAAGAAACCCAAACGTACCCAGTGTATGCTTATTGTCACCTTTTGTTTCAATAAAGTGTTTGTTTCTAGTCATTCAGCAAGACTCTTCCGACATCTCAAGAAAGGAATTTACAGGAAATGAACCACTATCATTTGGGTGGGGGGAGGGGCTGCTAATAAAATGAATTATGATCCCAATCTCAAAACGAGTTCATCGGCTGCCCCAGTAAGGCAGCTGTGGAAACCCACTGGTCACAGTCAAGTACAGAAAAGAGTGTCACACTCACATGTCCCTGCGGATCCTGAATATGTAGCAGAAGAATAGATCTTATTTTCTCACATAAAACTCAAATATACAGTAAAAATCCTTTCTTAACCATTCGTTCAACCTGTGCTGCGTGACATTCTGAAATGCACGGCTGCCTGGGAAGCTGTGGGCTCTGTGCCATGTCTTCCTGCGTCTGGCTTCTGATCTGCTGGGTTTTGTTTTTAGCTGTACAGGCTGGCGGGTACTCTGCTGTGGACTCTGACGGCTACTTGAAGGGGTTTTCTCGGAGAAAATGCTAGGTTAACACCTCGAAGCCTCCCACGCTCAGAGAATAAGGTTCCCCGTAAACTTGAGGAATAATAACAAGATGCCCTGTTAATTGAAAGTAAAAAATTAAAAAAAAAAAAAAATCACAGGGTATTGGTATTCAATGAAAACTAGGGGGCATTTTACTGGGAATCAAGTTGCATTTCAAGCACTGGGACAACGGAGTCTAAGAATCAGATGGAAATGGTCTAATAAGAGATGCAGAATAAGAGGTAAATTATACATACCCCTGGCTGGTGTAAGAGAACCAAAAAAAAAAAAAAAAGGGGGGGGGGTTGGGTTTTAGTACATTTTTTCTTTTTTTTTCTTTTTACATGTACTAATAGAATCTTTTAAATTTTTTTATTTTAATACATTGCTTTTCTTTTTTTTCTCTTTACATGATCTAATGCAATGTTTTTTTATCTTTTTATTTGTATCGTTTTGTTTTAATACATTTTTCAATTTAGATCAAACCGCAGGCATTCTGGGGCCTCCACAGCGGAGACATTGGTGGGGGAGTCGGGTGCGGGATGTGCTGTTCCAAGGCCATCAGGAAAGAGCTTGCAAACAAGGGTAGGGACAGCCCTGGGAACACAGGGGTGTAACAATAATAATAAAATAATGACAAAGTGAAGGGCAGGGATGAAATAGCGTTGGCCAAACATCTTGGGCCCAGGCGGATTAAAGGGCACCATCAGGGACTCCCTGCTGCCTGGCAGGAAGAAGTCCCCTCGAGCCCCCCTGCCCTACCTTCTCTTTCCCCCCAAAAGCAAATGTTCTTCAAGGGCCTTGGTCCTGGGACGTAAATACAAGGAGGTCCCTGCACTCTGTTACTTGGACGGGAGAAATGTGCTTTCCACGAGCCTGCCCGGCAACTTACTGGGGACTTCGTTTCTTTGAAACTATTTGCTCTGCTGAAGGCATAGGGTACAGTGTGGTCCTTGGGATTTAGAGGCCACGATCTTCCATATTTTCAAAAGCATCAGTTTAGTTCTGGTGGCTAATCTGTCGACCAATTTGGGATCTTTCAAGAGGCAAAGTTTCATAGCAAACAAGCATTTTTTGGGGGGGGGGGCGGGGGGAGACAAAAACGTTTTCAAAATAGCCGTGGTTTGAAAAGGAAAAGGTAGAGATGTAGGTGTTTGGCCTCTTTATTTTTCACATCTTCTCTATCGCTGTTTTTTCACCCTCCCCCCGCCCCCCGTTTAAATGCTGCTAAAAGGCAGGTGTCAGAGAAATGAGATCTCGTTAAAACACTTTTTCATGTATTTCACTGTGAGCCAGAGAAGAGTCTTTGAAACCTATTTTTGAATCCGGAAATCTAAAAAAAAAAAGATAAAAAGAAAAAAACAACGAAGCAAACAAAACCAGAAATGCCAGACACCCAAAAAGTTCTACAAAGGTGTCTTACAGAGTCTGGCAGCTCGTAGAAGGAATTTAGAAAATCAAATCTCCAAAATGCAATATTAACTTACAAATAACTTGGGAAGGAAGAAAAGAAAGTATACATGCATATTCTAAAATTTCATTTTCTCTTCTTATGACCAAGCCAAAAAAAGGGGAAAAAAAAAAAAGGAAAAAGAAAAAGAAAAACATGGGATTCCTTGTAAATAACATTTTTTAACTCACTTCATATTTAGAAACGTGTATACTTCTCATAGGTGGCTTGCATTCATCGACAGGTCATTGGGATGAAAAAGCACAGTTGTTTCCAAACAAGAAGAAAATAAAGAAGCACACAAAAGTGTACTCATTTCAGAGAAGGGGAGGAAAAAGAGATTGAAATTAAAAAAAATAGAGAGAGAGATATAAAATCATGCATCAGGGTCGAGCTTTGAAAAAACAAAAAATACCTTCATCTTCACCACGGTCATTACTGGTTATATCATCTGCGTTTTTCTTTGTGTTGGCTCCTGGGGTCATAATGAGAAGGAAAATAAAGGGAAAAAAAGAGAATTCAAAAACAACAGGTTTGCAAAAAAAACCAGAAGAGAGATACTACCCAGTAAAAGAAAAAAAATGTCACACAAAAAGTTGAAATTTGTTACATTTGGATTTCAAAAAAATGAGGTAGGGGCGATGCAAAATGCATAAAAACATAAAGATGTCAAGAAGAACGAATTCAAAACATTACTTGTGAAAAATAGTCTCTGTCCTGTGAAAATGCAGTTTGGGGCGGTTAAAATGATAGTACTCCAAAAAAAGAAAGAAAAAAAGAGCTAATGTGAGTTGGAAAAAAAAAAAAAGAAAATTAAATTATTAAAAAAGATTTCCCACATTCTCAAAAGAAATGCACATTAAATAATCAATGTTCCTCTAATTTTAACATATTACGATCTACATAAATTCATGAAATGTCACCGATACACTCTGGTTATCAAATTCCATAACGGAAGAAGAAAGACATTTATGTAATAAACACAGAAGGCCCTTCAATTAAATACTTAAAATTGACATTAATTCCATGCAGATGAACTTAAAACACAGCATTTCAAATACAGATCAGAAATGGCAGTTAATTTGTTAATTTAAATCCTGAAAGTCACCTCTCACCAAGTGGCCAGAGAAGCACCCAATATTTGCTCCTGTTTACTAGAAAAACAAACGCAATAACAAAACCACCATTTTCAATAAGGATTTCTGAAGATAAAACGTGACCAATCACGTTCTCTCTGTTTGAAACACTTATTAATATTACTTCAGTGTTATCACTCATTGAATTTAAGATAAATACGTAGTAAAGTCACCTACCTTGATGACCTGAAACATGAACGAGATAAGAATGTCCATGTAGACAAAATATGAGGGGCGGGGTCCCCTCAACGACACCAAAAAGATTCTCTTCTGTATTTGGTATGTAGCGCACCCTTTTCCTTTTCACGTTTTCCATATACAAGATGCCAAAACATTTAATAGAGATTGAATTGTTTGGTTAATTAGCTCAACTGTCTTCTTTTTATAGACAGACACAGGGTATGCATATTCCAGATCCAGTAACTTCAAAAGGGTCTGAACCACATCCTTCTAGAAGTTCTACGTAACTCAAAGGGACTCGGCATGTTTTGAAGCCGAGATGTGAAGCTGTGGTGTTTTTGTAGTCAGAGAATGCTTGCATATTGTCTATATTATGTGGTTTAACACCTTT